TTTCCCCCCTGCATGTGCAAGCACAGCATGTTTTTCTTTTCATTCCTTGGCGCGCCGTGTTTCCCTAGCAAGGAAATTCGCCCTGCCGACGCTATTATTACTATTACTATTACTATTACTATTATTGTTACTATTATTAATTGTCTTTGTTGGTTTGTTTACTTCGGGAAAAAGCAACAACGCAGAATGGAGTGGGGGGGGGGGAATGCCCCCACGCCCACGCCTTTCTCGGCCCTGTCGCCGCCGCTCTGGCGTCCACCGCAGCTGCGCGCCACGTACTCCGTTTTGCCTCTCCTTTGCTTTTTTGGTTACTCTGAAGTTTTTTGCACGAAGTGATCTGCTCAGTTTAATTTTTGTTTATTTGTTTTTTTGTTTTAAGCGCCCGATTGGGAGGGAAATGGAGGAGGTTGAGGGTGTTAATGGTGGAGAGGGGCTGCCGATTCCTCTCACACGTAAGGAGCGGAAGCGTCAAGAGAAGGTTGAGAAGCGCCTGGAGGAGCTTCGTATTTTGAGTGAGTGCGCGAATAAAGTGAATAAGGAAGGTGACAGTCCTTTTTCTGTTACGTGGGAAGATGACCAAATCGCCGAAGGAACTCGTAACATTGCTCTAAAGAAGGTGTCGGTTTCTGTGAATGGCAAGATTCTTTTTAAGGACACACTTGTGAAGCTTTCTGCTGGGTCGCGCTACGGACTTATGGGCCCCAATGGGAGAGGTAAATCGACAATCCTGCGTTTGTTGAGTACGCGAGAGTTACCAGTCCAGTCGAACCTTGATCTTTTACTCGTGGAACAGGAACAGGAGTTTCACGCGTCGGATTTGAGTGCAGTTCAGGCTGTTGTTGAGAGTCATAAGAAGCAGCGAGAATACTTGGTTGAGGCGGCTAAGTTGCGTGATAAAGCGGAGCTTGATGATGTAGAAATGACACGACTTCAATTTCTAGAGGATGAGTTGGAAATGATGGGAGCCACGCAGGCTGAGGCCCGTGCCCGCCGCATTTTATTTGGGTTGGGCTTCCCCACGGAGTGGCACGAGCGTCCCACGAAAAGCTTTAGTGGTGGTTGGCGCAAGCGTATCGCGCTGGCGTCTGCGGTATTTATTGAGCCAGATGTGCTTATGCTAGATGAGCCAACAAACCATTTGGATTTGAATGCTGTCATTTGGTTGGAGTCGTATTTGTGTGAGCAGTACAGTGAAAAGGCGCGGCGTCCTAAGACGCTTATCGTTGTTTCCCATGATGCCGGCTTTCTTGATGAAGTCTGCACGCACATGGTTCATGTGGAGAATCATATACTGAACTATTATCGTGGCGGTTTCAGTAGTTTTGACGAGCAGCTACGTCAGCGGCACCAGGAGATGGATAAGAAATATGCCGCTGTTTCCAAAACGATAAAGGAAAAGAAACGCAATGGAATGTCGAATGCACAGGTTGAAGATTGGATCAAGGATCAGGTTCGTACGGGACGATTAGACCCCACGTACCTTGAAAAGCGCCGTGACTATGTCGTTAACTTCCCCTTTGCGGAACCCCCTGAGTTACCGGATGCGTGTATTTTTAAGTTGGAGGAGGTGTCATTTAACTATCCGGGTGGGGCGGTGCTCTTTGAAAACGTTAATTGTGCTTTATGGACGGACAGCCGCATCACGTTGTGTGGTCCGAACGGTATTGGCAAGAGTACATTGTTGAACCTCATGACAGGTGAACTGATTCCAACTGGAGGCGTTGTCACTATCAATCGTAAGGTTCGCATTGGCCGCTACAATCAACACTTTGTGGACAAGCTGCCTTTGGAGAAGACACCGGTGGAATATATTCGATCGCTCGGCATCAATGAGGAGGACAAGGCACGCCGCCAACTGGGCAGCTTTGGTTTGGAGGGCATTGTGCATAAAAATCAGATTGCTACTCTCAGTGGTGGGCAAAAGGCCCGTGTTGCGTTTGCTGCCATCAGCACGGAAAAGCCTCATTTCCTTCTATTTGATGAGCCGACGAATCATTTAGACGTGGAGTCGATCGAGGCTCTCTGTGCAGCTATAAAGGCCTTTAAGGGGGGAGTTCTGGTCGTGACACACGACGCGCGTTTGATTGAGGAAACGGAGATGCAGATTTGGGAGGTGGGGAACCGTACCGTGACCTCGTTCAATGGCACGCTTCATGACTACAAGAAGAAGGTGCGAATGATCTTTGAGCGGGAGGAGGCCGCGGCGATGAAGGAGCGAAGGCAGATTATGGAGCAGAAGCAGGTGAGCAACCGGCTTCGGCGCCAGGGCGATGGAAGAGAAATGGAAGAGGTACGACGCGAAATGGAGGAAAAGCAAAAACAAAAGCAGGCAGTGGAGGTGGATGAAGCGTTTAACTTCTTTGAGAAACGAAGCAAGAAGAAGAAGAAGACGACCAAAGGCGTCTGACACGTGGTGGGAGGGAAGGAATGCGTATTATTATTATTATTATTAATTTTAGGGGATTATGCCGTCAACACTTTAAAATAGATAACTTGACTACATATATAAACTCGTAAGAAGAGGCTCTCATGAAAGCATTAACCCGTCTTCATTCTTTATATCCCTCCCTCCTTCTCTTTCTTTCTGACTGTTGGCCCTGTCATTGATGATTTTCTTGTTGCCTGTTATCTTCCATGATTTTTTTTTAATTCTGTTCCTTGTCCTTTTTTTTTCTTGTTGTTGTTATTGAATCGTTGTAGTAATAGTCTTTTTTGTTGTTTTACCCGCCCCCTTAATACGCCGAGGCTTGCCGTGGCGAAGGAGGGAAAGGTTTGGTGGTGGCGGTGCATCGTTTCAGCCGGCGGGCGCCTTTGCAAAGGTCGATGCCAACGCCGCGTCTTGTTGGGCGTTATGAATTCATTAGGCTTGTGGGTAAGGGCGGCTTTGGTGTCGTCGAGGAGTATCGTGACCTCCTCACAGGTGAGCAGGTTGCAATTAAAAAGGTTCCAGCGCGGTTTGTGGATCAAGAGAGTAAGCGCCTCATTCGCGAAATTGACACCATGTTGTTTCTGCACGACGCCCATCCACATGTGATTGGCTTCTTTAGCATGTTTGTGACGCCGGGCACTGGCGTGGACAGTCGCCTGGTAGAGGATGGTATTCAGTGCGGCGGGTCCGCGGTAACGTGGGAGGCTCCAGAGAGTTTAGATGTGGAGTCTCCAGCGTATGCCGGCCTTAGTTGTACGGCGGCGCTCATCAAGCATCACGATCAACTGGAGGCTGAAGTGGCCAAAATACGTGGCGGCGACAAATTCATTCTTCACATTGTGATGCCTCTTATGAAGGGGGACTTGCTCCACTTCATCAATCATGCGTCTCCTGCGGGTCTAAACCTGGCGGTTACCGATGATTTTATTGAGCAGGTGTTTGTTGTAGTTGCTTTTCAGATCTGCTTTGGGTTAGACTATTTACACAAGTGCAACATCGTTCATCGTGATATGAAGCCAGAAAACATACTTATTCGTTTGCACAATACAAATCCGTATGAATCCACCGCCCTTATAGCAGACCTTGGGCTTGCGCGGGATGCCCAGGCCAGTGACACATTTTATGTCTGTACTCGTTACTATCGACCACCGGAAATTATAACGACTGTTTCCCGCGGGGAGACGTCCATTGATGTGTGGTCGCTAGGTTGCATTTTGTTCGAGATGGTGACGGGGCGCGCCCTCTTTACTGTTAGCTCGGCCCTCAATGAGCATGGTGTGTGGGATGGGCATCGTGCCAGTACTCAGTTGGAAGTGATTTTGAACACTATTGGAACCCCGAGCCGTGATGAGGTTAGGCGGCTGATGCCGGTGGGAAATGCACAGCAGTACCTCTTGCGGAGTGTCCCCCGTCCTTCGCGACTCATGGAAATGATGAGGAGCAACTGGCGGCTGCGTACGACACGCGACCGTCAGGCAAAATGGATGGACTTGATTGTCTGTTGCCTTGCTTTCTTTCCAGAGCACCGCCCTACGTGTGAAGAGTTGTGCCGGCATCAGCTTTTTCGAGACTTCAATGTCCTCTATGGTGAAAATGTGATGCAGTACCCTGCGAGAAGGTATCAGCCAATACAGGTGGGGACGCTGGTGGCCGAAAACAAGCAGATTATCCTGCGCCTTGTCCGGCGCGCCTTGGAGCTGTCGGCGCCTTTCGCCGAGGACGGCGAAGAGGGAGAAGATGGATCGATTTTGTTTGCGAATGACGAGTGCTTGCGGCAGGATGAAACGCCGTTTGAGGAGGTGAATACGGCAAATGCCGCGGCGGCACGTTCCACACCAACGCGCGAGGATGTTGCAGCCGCGGCCGCCGCGGAAAGCGGGGAAACGCCCGCGGACTTTCCATACCTACGCGACCCGGAGCTTCGCCGCCAGTACGCCCTAACCGCGTTCACCCGCGATGCCTTGGATCGCGTTGTCGCCAGGCTTCTCAGCGACCTCCAATATCACACGCACGACGCCGAGCGATCGGGGCAGTTGCGAGCTCTGCTAAATTATTTTACTTCCCTGCGGTGAGCGCACCGCGGGGCGCCTGTCGTCTCGTCGTCGATGGTTCTTTCCTTTCTTCCCCTCGGTGTTTGGGTGGCCTTGAAACGATTTCGTCGCCTTTCTTTCACTTCTAGGTGCGCGCGATGCTCCTCATGGTTGCCTGCTTTTTCGTTTTTCGCTTGGTGCGGGGTGTTTCTAGGGCGAAGAAGCAAAGAAGAAGGCCGCCGACATTTTCCAGCGCGGCTCCTCACCGACGCCAAATGCCGAACAAAGCGCGGTGGTGCGCCGCCGTTGCCAAGGAAAAAAAAACAATGACTGATGAGAGGGAAAACGCTACCCTCGGCGGGACTCGAACCCGCAATCTTTCGCTTAGGAAGCGAACGCCTTATCCATTAGGCTACGAGGGCTCCCACGCGGAGCGAAACATTCGAGAAGAAGTCGTCAATAGGCGAAAACTTTGACGCCAAACGACAGACGCAGCAGGGACAGACGCACGTTTGCCGCGGCGCCAAGGGGACCCCACGCTAAGCCATCGAAACTCGCAATGCGGCAGTCCGGCCGGGAGTACTGCGTTTTCCCGGGGGCCACTGACCTCGGAACTCCCGCTCCCGACCCCAACACACACGCAGGGCTCGGCAAGCAGCAAGAACCTACGGAACCCGGCCGATTGAAGCCGAAGCGAAGTTACCCCAGTTACGGAAATGGTCCTTCCCACACACACACACGCACACGTAAATGTGTGAGTCACCCTCTTCCTGAATGCGGGGCCGCAGCGGGCAGACACAGTGGACGAATCCCCTCGTCATTGCGCTCACACCCCCGAAGCGGAACACCCGCGAAAAAGCAAAGAGACGGGGACTATTCAGGCGCTCCCTCCATCCACGTTTCCCCCGCACAGGAACCCCTTCTGCCGCGCTGCAGCCAAGTTTCTTCTAACAACAGACAAGAACAGGACCCCCCCACCAAAAAAAAGGAAAATAAAAACCTTCACAACTACACTGTTCATCCCCTCGATGCAAGCGTTGGCAGTCGGCACCAACGCAGGACCGAAGAACATGACAACGTCCGTGTGGCGCATCCATAAACTGAAGGGGACCAATGCAGGCACCTCCATGCCCAAAGTATACGGTGCACAGGGCACGGGTTTCGAAGTCTGTAACGCGCAAGGTGCGTCGAAGCCCTTGTCCACGCTGCGCGTGCGGCGGCTTCGTAGCAAGGCATCAGCACCTTCCTCCACACCCTTGCAGGTATTCGTCGTAGTTGTTGGCCGCCCGCACGGATCGCGCGTCACCATCGCCGCCGCATCGCTCCCGCGTGGTGCTACGTTGCTGCTCGGCCGCGCACCTCCGTTATACCCTCTTTTCTCCTTGTTCAATCTTCTTGACCACGCGACGCTGGTGCGGATTGAAGTTCGCCACCGGCGGGAAAGCCCCCGCACTCGGCGCGGCGCAGGCACCCCC